GCACACCCTGATTATAATTGATGTCATATTTTTTAAAGCTGAAACTGAAGAAAATCAGCCTAAGCAAGAGAAGAAGGTGATGGAATTATCATTATTATATTTGTTATTTTTATACCCCCGAGTACTAGCTTGAGGAATCTGACAATGCTGCTCTGTAACAATACAAAACACTCAGTCACGTGTAAATATTGTTGAAGTGCTTTTGAAATACGTTAAATATAATTCAAACTTAGAATACTATATATATATCATCCCACTGTAAAAAACACTGGTTTGTCTGTGATTCATGTGTAGATCTGTTGCACGATGTTAATTTTGAGCGTTCAAATGTTTGATAATCCATGTGATATGGAACATTATTTTCCATTAATGATTAAAATAACAAGAAGAAAGGTGTCCCAGCCCAAAACATTGTGAACATTAAATATATATTTAACATTAGCCATTTTGATTGGTGATGATACTATGTAGATTTCTACTGAGCAATTTGCTTCCTCTTCAGTGGTAGATCGGAAGTCCATATTCTTACAACCCTAAAAACCGGGCTTCGATACCTGTGGTGGGCACAGCATAGACAGCCCATTGTGTAGCTTTGTGCTTAACAACAAGTAAACAAACAAAGCAATTTATGGTTCATAAATAAATAACGAAAAACCTATAACGTAACTTGTACAAAATGTACTGATATAGATTGGTGGAAATACAGTGACAAATCACTTTCGTAGTTTACTCTATAATAGAATTGTTAACCACAAGATCGTACGAAAACTGTTATTTTGTATTTAGAAAATGTCACTGTTACTATAGGATAATGAATTACGGAATTCATAGTTATAAGTTAGAATAACTTGTACAGTAAGATGAATGCAAAGAGGTTTTTTTTAACAGTTTGTAGATAGATGGATGAAACTCTACATTAGTGAAAGTGGTAAATAATTAAAAAACCTTATGTGTTATTGCAACTTGTTCTATCGTTGAACACTATCTTTTGGATTATTTAGTAGAAATAATGCCATGTTCAGTTCGCCTAACGATGCCGAATTAATTTATTTCATTTATAAACTTGATACAGGATATGTCCCCTTTGGCACAAGTTGTAGGCCTAAGTTTACAATGTTTGGACAGAAATTCCGAGATTAATGATGCTGCTAACTTATAAATTACCTTACTTAAAAAATTTCCTTCCTAATCGATCGGTTAACGTAATAAACGCAATAATTCTTACTGTAAATACTGGATTGAATTACTCATTCACTAAATACTTCAATGAATTTTCATTGAATCCTCACACACTGATTACTAGTGTTTATAATGTACTCTTGTTCCTCTGGATTTTAGGGAATTTCTAGGTAATTACGCTATCATGAAACTTCTAGGTATTCTACTTTATTGCTGAGCCATTAGGGAGCATCACAGAAATAGCTTTTACGTAGTTACGTGCTAAATAAATTCTCTTATCTGCCCTACGTTTTATGTTTGTTTGTTTTTTTTGCACAAAAGTCTGCATGCGCATAGCCGTTTGTAATTTTGAAGTGAATGATTAAAAGGTGGTTAGCTATTCAACTACATTCACTGCCGACCCTTGGGCTACACTTTTCTACCTGGATAGTAAGATTCGTTTTTCACTCTCAAAACTCGAAGAAAAGCTACAATCTCTCCCACTACCGCTGTTTACCAACAAATACAGAAACAGGGCATCCAATTTCTTTCTCTCCACCTTTCAGATCTTATCAACAGCTAAACATGACACTGAACTTTTAATAAAAGAAACATAAAAACTCTTCTTCCATCTCTAACTAATACACATTCTCCATGTGATTTAAACCTATTTTAATTTAACTATTTCATTTGCGCTACATACTTTTCAGTTTCTGTTGTTCCACTTTTTTGTATTCAAACTGTTTACTAATTATTCATTGCATATTATATCATGTTTCTGATTTAATTAGCAATATGTTTATTTTGTACTTCTAGATTACTGAAGATGGAATTTTGACGATTCCGAAACGTTTGATGAAAGCATCATATAATTACGTTCGTGTTTTACTTTATTACTAAATTACGTTTTCGGAAAAATGAATCGATTACTATTATATAGTAATATAATATAATATTATATATTATATAGTATATTATATAGGCTTGGAGGGCTGAAATCGAAGGATAAGATAGGCCTCAATGTCATTGATGGATTATTTCTTTTCTTCTATGAAATCAAATATTTTATTTAGGAAACGAAAAAAAATCACAATTAATTAATTTATGTATTTACTATTATCAGGATTTTGATGCTAAGCTGGGCTTGCGTGTCTTTGCTCTGTTGCATTGCGTCTTTGTTGAAATAAAAGAAGTGTAATATATTAATTTAACAGATGGTTAGTTGTATAATTTCGAATAATAAGTTAAATGCAATGGTATAACAATATTCATACACCTAAATTAATTTAGGTTACTATATAGCGAGTAAGAAAACAACAACTTAAAAACCTATAATATTATGGTTCACTCCATGTTGTCAATGGTTCGAACTAGTTACGCTATCTGGAATGTATAATGACAAACGGACTACCTCAGGGATCCGTAATTGGGTTTAGGATAGCCCGTGTTTTGATTAGTGCTAAAACCTCTTCTAGCGTGTAACCATAACTATATAAAAGCATAAAACTTTGTTATTAGAAGGTCAGTGTAGTATGTTCCTAGATTTTTTTCCTTTTTTCAAAATTATTCATTTATCTTCTTTGTTAGGCTAATAAATATGTAATTTGAATGTTATTTTATGTTACTTTCCTTGCCAAATACCTCAGGTTAAGTGAACGCACAGTGTTAAATGTGTGTTCTTTTTTTTCCACTTACATTTAGTGCAAGAATGTTTTGATGTAATGAGAACTTTCTCATTAGCAGTGTGTAAATGTCAAGCAAAAAAACCTTTGGTATTTTAAGCACCACACATTCTTTACTTTGTTTGTCTGTAGTTAAATACAAAACTATACATTAAGCTATCTGTGCTATGCCCACCAATGGTATCGAAACCCGGTTTCTAGCGTTATAAATTTGCAGGCTTTCTGCTGTGCCACTGGGGAGTACACATTGGTTGGCTTATTTGTTTGTTTGGAATTTCACGCGAAGCTACGCAGGGCTATCTGCGCTACCCGTCCCTAGTTTAACAGTGGCAGACTAGATGGAAAGCAGCTAGTTAACACCACCCACCGTCAACTCTAGGGATACTTTTTTACCAACGAATAATGGGATTGGTGGTCAAATCATAACGTCCCCACGGCTGAAAGGCTGTTTATAGAAACCATAGAGAGTATTCTGCTAATCACAGAAACAACTAACGAATTAAGTTACTTTATGTGGATAAACCATTGAAAATGTTTTTATGTGGAATTGTAAAACAAAAAGAAAATCATGAAATATATAATAAAACCATTGTGTCTATGTGGATTAACCATTAAATTTACAATATTTATTTGTAGATTGACTGTGCAAAACACTCAAAATACATGCATAAAGACATTTTATTTGGATTAGGCATTAATTAAAGTGTTTCTTTGTAAAATGACACTGAAAAAAACAGTTAACATACATGGTAAAATAATTATTTTATGTTGATTAACCATTAATTGAAAAATATTTCTTTGTAGAGTAACAATAAAAAAACACTCAAAATACAGACTAAAACAGTTATGTTAAGGTAAATTTCAGTAAACGTTAACGGTGATTGCTATAAAATTAGCAAAATACATCATGATAAGGTTCTGAACTTATTTTTACGGCAAAAGATCTGACAGATCGGCTTCCAGTCTTTTAAATAACAAATCGTAGGAAGCAATTACGTAACGTAAAATATGTATATATGTTAGGATATATAGTATCACTGTTCCTTAAAATTTAATTTAAAGAGATTCCTCACGTAAGAGAATTTTCAGCAGCTATCAAAATCACAATACAGCAGAAAAATAGTTGATTATTTTTATAATGTTTCGGACACGGCTACTCTTTACCTATTCAGTTTTAGACCACTACTTTTGTTTTGATAAAGTTTTTTTTTTACATTCACTACATTTTCTATAACCAGAAAACTGCAGTTTAATCAAGTTATATAAGATGAAAATCCTGAATGAATTTTATTAAGTCTTCAAGAATTACTTCATTTTTTCTGATTGAAATTATTAACCAAGAGATATGCATATGTTTGAAACTATATAGTTCATTATTCGACTCCAAAGAATTATCCATCAAAAGATAATGCTCGATATCAGCCGCCAGGTGCTGTCGAAGTTATGTTCCTGAAGCAAAAACAAATTTATATTGAATACTTGTGAAAGTTTCATCAGATTAGATACGTAAATGATTACATACGGTTAGCAGACTGTCAAAATCGTAGTAGCTTAATATAAGGAAAATGAACACATGTTCAGATTCAATCAGTCAAGAGCATAAGTACATTTCTGTTTCCTTTCAGAAATACCACCGGTTAATTTAATAATTTCCAACACTAAGTTCAGCGCAATATATTGGTATCTGAATGTTATTTGATTTTAAAAATCTATTTCTTCAGTAAACTCTTAAAATAATTATTATCATCATAGAATAAGGATAATATATAGATAGAGAGATAAACATGGTTTTTTCAACCTACTTTATAGTTGTTAATTTTCTGTTAAAATCAATATATGTTACTTATTTTATCATACATTGATGCATTCTACAAAGCACCATTTCTTACTGGGATTTCAAACATTGATGCATTCTACAAAGCACCATTTCTTACTGGGATTTCAAACATTGATGCATTCTACAAAGCACCATTTCTTACTGGGATTTCAAACTTTGATGCATTCTACAAAGCACCATTTCTTACTGGGATTTCAATTATAAATTTATTTATTTATATACCAGAGTAGCGAAAGATTTGGTACAATAAATGACGAATTACAATAATGAAAACAGGATACACAATGGAAATTACTTTCCTTAGTAAAAGTTAAGCACATGTACTACCACTTCATGTGGAGTACGCTGCTTTACGTCGTAAGATACATCGTTGGGTGTTTCGTCAATTCCTCCAAAAAATTATGTACACCTGGCACGATAAGTGTGAAGAATTGGCTGTCAAATAGCTTTTAATTAATTCACAGAGAAGCTTAAGGCTGAAACCCATGCCGGCACAACTGCCTTTACTACTCCAATGTTTGACAGAATCAGGATAGTACATACATATCACAATGATGTTTTCACTTTAGATCGGTTTAAGCTATTGAGCTAGTTATTGGCTAAACAGATGTATATTTACAAATACTGCCAGTTCTTCCTAAATAATACATTTTGTTTTTGTTACCTAGTACTCATTAATTATAAAGGATCATATTGCGATTTCCAGTCTTAAAATATTTCTTGATTTATACTTAAAGAGATTTATAGATTTCAGTAAATTATCTTTTTTCTTTTCAATTACAATGAGCAGTTTTAACTTATTACATTGCAAGTATTATTTTCTTCAACAATAAAGAGTTAGTTTTAGGTAAAGTAAATAATATTGTTTTATAACTTAAATTGTCTAATGAAATTAAGAAGAGTGGATGGTAATGTTTGATGTGAACGTGTTTCAATTGCTACAAGTTATTAATAATCCTTATAAAAGAGGATACTCCGTTTCAAACTATGTCACCTCAGTGAAACTGGTTGACACCACTGTTTAGTTTGGGTTACCATGTAATAAAAAAGAAGCAGAAGAAAGAACAAGAAATTCAAACACATTTGCTGTGAAAATTTACTTTTAGACATTCCTAGAACTTATAGCTCAATCTTCACACAGATATTGTTATAAAAGGAAACGTTGTATAGTATTGTAAAGCTCTGATAACCTATTGAGATGTTATTTAAAATACAATTTCGATTAACAATCCGAACCATCCATACATAGGCAGTGCTACCGCCTGTCTAATACACATTTAGAAAACACAACTTCTAGAGTAAACAATGATATCATTACCCCTTCAAGTTAGCTTTCTTACAGAAAATTGGTGTTCCTTTAAAAAGCTTAAGAACAGTGTGAAACAGGAATTACCAGCCAATAACAGATGAACAATAAACATTACAGTTGGAATTTCATTGTATTTAGAACTTGGTTATAAGTACAACCTTCCTAGGTGTATTAAAACACAGCATTAAAAAAAGAAGCAAACAAGTAAAGAAAAACTTTTCAAACAAGGAAGTAAGTGTAGGGATGACAAATATCAATCCTTTTAAAACAACGTAAATAAGATAGTAGGGATGGCATTTGCATCATCCCTACATAATAGTACAGGTAAGAGTTAACATATAGCAATATATATAACTGTTCAATCACAGTTGAGTTTAATTTATCCTATTTTTTGTCTGTTAACATTCTACAAGACTGTGTGTCTGTGCTGTTATGTGGGGATGATGCAAATGCAATCCCTACTATATTTTGTTTGCATTCGTTTTGATTGATTAATATTAGCCATCTATACATTTACTTCCTTTTGTGAAAAGCTATTGATATGCTTACCATTTCAACAGTACGAACATTAATTCTGGCTCCAAGAATCCTAGCTGGCATATATTAGTTTAACCTTATTATGCTAGTAATCATTTACTTATGATGATTGAGAAGAAAAACCTGAGAGCTATAGAATGCAGCACGTTACAGACCATAGCCTTTCAACTTAAATTTGGAAAGTAGCCCAAGATAGCTAATTTTTGCATGCTACTGATGTATTGACAATGTAATGAAAAACATCAAAGTTTGGTTGCAATTGGCCCAGCTACCTAGTAGTTAGATAAGGGAAAAACAGACAAACACAAAGATTTTTGTGCTTTATATATATGTATATATATAATAAGAACAACATAAATATAAAGTGACACATAAACAGCTTATACATTATGAACTAAGTTTGTTTCTAGAATAAAACTGACTTAATTGGATACAAATATATATATATATATATATTACCGCAAAGATGACTTTAATGTTGTAAAACATACGACGAATCTCGAAGTGTACTTCACTGGCTTACATACGACGAATCTCGAAGTGTACTTCTCTGGCTTACATACGACGAATCTCGAAGTGTACTTCTCTGGCTTCCATAAAAGATGCAAGATCAGCTGGCAAACTATCGCGCTTTCATAAAACTTGAATTAACTCTGAAATATCAAACGCACATGTGCCTAAGGGCCTGCTGAGTCCTAATGTTATAGAGATTCAATAAAATAAAATAAAAACCCTCGACGCTTTGAAACTCCAGTTGTTGCGAGTGAAACGAGTTAGGTTTCCTTCAGAAGCTCAGTCACATTCATAGCATCACTTTAGATATAAAGCCATTACATTGTAGCTCAGTCACATTCATAGCATCACTGTAGATATAAAGCCATTACACTGTAGCTCAGTCACATTCATAGCATCACTTTGTGACTGAGCTACAGTGTAATGGCTTTATATCTATTCACAGCATCACTTTACAAATTAAGCCATTACACTGTAGCTCAGTCACATTCATAGCATCACTTTAGATATAAAGCCATTACACTGTAGCTCAGTCACATTCATAGCATCACTTTAGATATAAAGCCATTACACTGTAGCTCAGTCACATTCATAGCATCACTTTAGATATAAAGCCATTACACTGTAGCTCAGTCACATTCATAGGATCGCTTTAGATATAAAGCCATTACACTGTAGCTCAGTCACTTTCATAGGATCACTTTAGATATAAAGCCATTACACTGTAGCTCAGTCACATTCATAGGATCACTTTAGATATAAAGCCATTACACTGTAGCTCAGTCACGTTCATAGGATCACTTTAGATATAAAGCCATTACACTGTAGCTCAGTCACTTTCATACCATCACTTTACAAATTAAGCCATTACACTGTAGCTCAGTCACTTTCATACCATCACTTTACAAATTAAGCCATTACATTGTAGCTCAGTCACTTTCATACCATCACTATACGAATTAAACCGTTACACTGTAGCTCAGTTGCTTTCATAGCATCACTTTACAAAAATACAAATTTAGTTTTTCTCACAGAAGTGAGTATCTTTGCGATTTTGGTAATGTATGAAATGGTTAAGATATACAAAAATTCAATCTTTCTTCCACATTAAAGTAAAACAAGTAATATTTCATACTACCCAAATTCTAAAGGAAGCTAACAACCATCGTATAAAACATTTTAATATTTTTTTGTATTTAAACACTATGTTCACACTGGTAACATTATCAAATGATATAATTCTCAGTACGAACAATTACAGGGATCCTTAGCTCCCCCTCTCTATCCAATGGATCATCGGTGAGCTTAATCGCAAAAAATCAGGTTTCGATCCCCATGTTGAACAGAGCTCAGATAGCTCATTGAATAGCTTTGGGATTCACAAGAACCAAACACAGTTCAACAAACTAGTAAAGTTTAATATTTTAACTTAATTTTATTGATTAAGTTTTGCATATCTTTAGACTGTTATAAGAAATTTTAGTAAAATTGTATAGAACAGTGAAATTGATATTTATGTGAAGCAATGAATGAATGAATGAATGAAATTTTGTGAATGCTATTTGATTTAATTATATAAATATTTGTTGTTTTTTTTTACTGTGCTTATAAATAACAATAAATACAACTTTGTAAGATTTGCAAACATTTAAAAAGTGTATAAAAGACACAATACCAATGAAAAACAAATTCCTTGTTTCACACTGGTCTGAAAAGTCAATTATTTCATCATATTTCCTTTATCGTGCACGTGATGCAGATCACTGATAAATACCAAAAAATGTATTATAGACAAGTTAAAAAATGTAGTGGTTTTCTCAAACTGATGCTTGTTAAGACTTTTCGCTGTCTATATTCGTGTTCGAGTTCCACTTCGAATAATAATCTTTGTACACAATGAACTACATGGACCACCTACGTTTAAGGTTATAAACCACACCTAGAGAGACCTAATTTTCCAGCAGAAATCTATAACATGCTGGTGGTCAGAAACGATCAAACTAAAAAGGATCTTAGATATTAATTACCTGTTCATCTCCCTCCCATTTCCCTTACCCTAGTCGGGAAAATACCACATACTGTTCCTTTCTCACTTCATACTTTTGGTCTTCTTTACCTCTCTTCCATGATTAGTTGATAAACGTATACTCGATTTGAGATTGACTATTGTTGTTCGAGCCTCTGGACATGAAAGAACCTATCTTACCCTCCTAAAGAGTGACTGACCTTGTTCCATAGGTGAACTATATCTTTCAATCAAGCATTTCTTCATTGAACCTACGGGTAAAAATGATAATAACACGTTCTGAAATATTAATCAAAATCCTTTGTACAGTGATCTTTATCATGGATTAGGATATGTAATTTAAGATAACGTATTAACATAGATTACTATAATCTTCATCCAGGATGTAAAAAATAAAATAAAATAAAAAACTATCTAGACCTGGTTTTAATATTTCTGTAAGGCATCACATAGAAAAGCAGATAGAGTTTGTTTGTTTGAAGTTAAGCACAAAGCTACACAATGGGCTATCAGTACTCTGCTCACCACGGGTATCGAACCACCGGTTCCTAACGTTGTAAGTTCGCAGACATACCGCTTTCCACTGGGAGGCCCATAGAAAAGCAATGAGAATCGTTAAGTCTCTAGGAATCTAATTTTCATATTTGTTTTAACAATAAATTTACAAGTAATTGGATTTCTGGAAACATTTACGTCAGTGTAATAAATACAATCAACCTGAACTAAAATATTACTAGTATTTGTTTGTCAGTAGTTAAGCACAAAACTACACAATGAAAATACACAACGAAAATACTATTAAATTTTAATTTTGTAACTCGATAAGTTGTGTTGTAAAATTTTTGTATAAATGTCCCGAAACTCAGTTTATTGGAAAAAGCCTGCAGCATTGCTTTCTGAATGTGTATTCGTGATATGTGTTATAAGTTTTGTGCGCGTACAAGATTTTTCTCGAATGAGAAAGCCATATTACTTTATATTACATTTTCTTTCGTTGAATTACCAACATTAGTTTTTATTACTTCGTTTCTAGCACCATAAACTATTTATTCATTTTTTGGACGTGTAAGTAACTTCCACTACATCATGTTGTTAACCGATTTCACTGAAGTAGTTGAGAGCACTTCGGATTACGATTTTCACACTTTCCATAGGCTCACACGCACTCTTTGATGTTTAACCAAGTTTCTTAACTTACAGTTATTTTATTTAAGAAAAAATGAAAAACATGCATGTGCTGGGTTATTGGTAAACCAACGAATTCTATAGCCATTCAGTTCTTGGGAAACGAAGATGTTTGAATAATTAATGGATAAACGTGTTTCGTCTATTCAATCGAGTAGCAAGGAAAAAGCAGTAGAGACATTTTATTTGTCAAACAGACTAAAACTCTCAGTGTGGTGTTTCAACAATTTCTCCTTCATCAGGCTTTCAAATACAGACTACTTTCAATACTTAAACCTTTAAAAGTGCACTGTATAAAATCGATTTCACCAAATTATAAGATCGTATTTTTAATAAAAAAAATGTTCTCATTCGTACATTTGTACGGACTACAGAAGGTTGAGTACATTATCTTAAACCGATTTAAATATGTAAATGAGTAAGCCATGTGACAAACTACACCTGATATCACACTACAATAAAATGTACCAGAAGTACGTTTTGAAGTTGTGTGGTGTTTCGTAGGTAATGTGATGCCTCCGCTTTTGTAATAGCCTTTTCCGACGCAAAATATTCATACCCTCAGGGTATAAAGGTGTGTTCAGATAAGGCAGGGCTATCCCTTGTACTTAATAACATTGGAATACAAAGGAATATACATTAACTTATTGAACCTGCACCATCCAAAAAAAGACTTCCACCTCAGCCGTGGGAAACAAAGTGCGGCGTCTTGTAATCAGTGAGAAACCACGAACACAAAATTCAGTAGCAGAACACGTTTGAAAAAGCGACACAAGTCACGTGTACACATGTTGTTTCTACGACGTATCTGTTCAAACGTCGCATACTTCAAGCAGATATTTCACATAATACATACCGATCAAGTAGCTGGAAGCAGTGCCTATGAATGTTTATGCGATCGGACTCTTGAAACGTGCGCTGGGAAACCATTGTCCTCATACACTCCATTGCTCACAGAAAGCCACTGTGTCATTTTCAATGGAAACTACGCTATAACGTCACCGTAAAGCTACTCGGTCGTCTGAGAAAATCGTTTTGATACAGTGGTTGCTCTGTAGTGATGTAATTTGGAAACTATATAATTTAATTGTATAACTGACAAACAAAAGTATGATTGACCGTTTCATCAAGGTATTCTTTTAACTATATAACTTCTTCATCTTATGTGCTTGATTAAAAGTAGTCATAATAAAATTAATTTTTTCGTTTTACCCATTAATTCTCATTATAACACAAACTTAGAAGGTTTTGAAGTATTTTTAAGGATTCATCATATTTTTTGTAAGTACAAAACAGGTAAATACTTAAGTGATGTACCAAAAGAAAAGCTACCTGTGCTCTGTTAACCGCGGGTATCGAAACCCGGTTTTCAGAGTTATAATCCCTCAACTTACCGCTTAGAGCAATAAGTATGATTTAATTGTAAATAACTTACTTAGAAGCACTATAAGATTGAAAGTAGCAATCCTTATCAAAACTTCTTGAACTTATCTATATGTCATTCCTAAATTACTTAAAATCCCTATCAAATTTAGATTCACTATCAATATATTAAAACTTATAAATCCACTTGATATCTTATGAAATAAAATCTTAGATCCTCTGGCTGAAAGAATAACGAAAAGGTTAGCAGAAAGGATTCTGGGTAATTGATAATGTTGTTTTGTTTGCAGTGTTTAAATAAGCTACGTGCTCGTACTCCCTTTTTTCTGAACTTTTATTTGATTGTACCAGGCAGGGCTATCTCTTGTACTTAATAACATTGGAATACAAAGGAATATATATTAACTTGGAGAACCTGCACCATCTAAAAAAAAAAGACTTCCACCTCAGCCGTGGGTAACAAAGTGCAGCGTCTTGTAATCAATGAGAAACTGCTTGACGCAGTTTTATTGTTGTTTTGTTGTTTTTGGCTTTTTATATAAATACATTGTTTGATCAATTTTAAGATGACACAAATTTAGCTTCAAATCACCACTTCAGCTAGGAGAATTCTAAAAACTTGTTTTATTTTTACATGTTTAACTTAATTGTGTTTAACAATCACGGTTCGTTTACCGATGGAAATGAACTATTCAAGTAATGTAAAAAAATTGTGTTTTGCTATGAAAGCATGTATATACACTATGTATGTCTAACTGACCTGCCCCAATGGCACTGTGGTCTGTCTCCGTACTTACAACGCTAGAATCCGGGTTTCGATACCCGTGGTTGGCAGAGCACAGATAGCCCATTGTGCAGCTTTGTGCTTAATTACAAACAAACTAAATGACCTACTAATCAATTACACATATATATACTTTTCAACACATTGATGATTTTATTTTAATACACCTGAAATTTCACACACAATTTATTCTATATATCCCGCTGAGGTCGAAACAGAATCTTCATCGGGATTCGGACCATGTTTTGGACCAGGGAGGGTCAGGTTCAGCGTAGACCTCTTCCTCCCTCTCTGACATTATTATTTTGTTTGAACTGTTACTGAATTCTAGGTAATAACCCTTGTTACATTGTTGTTGCATTACTCACACTTTGTTAAGTTTTGTCCATTTGAAATAGAGCACTTTGTTTGTTTTGAATTTCGCGCAAAGCTACACGAGGGCTATCTGCGCTAGCCGTTCCTAAATTAGCAATGAAAGACTAGAGAGAAGACAGCTAGTCATCACCACCAACCGATAACTCTTGGGCTACTCTTTTACCAACGAATTGTGGGATTGGCCGTCACATTATAGCGCCCCCACGGCTGAAAGGACGAGCATGTTTGATGGGATGGGGACTCGAACCCGCGACTAACGTAAATGTACCTGCCAATTTTACAACATATATTAGTTTTAAAATGTCTTCTGAAGGTCCAACTGGCAGAGAAGGACGCTGGTTGTAATACCGAAAGTCTAGTTGATACAGTATGTGAATCCCCAGGCTGTAATACCTCAAGTGGACATCCAGTTGTTAATGCACAGGATAATTCGGCAGATGAACATCCAGTTGCCACAATTAAGTGTAGCTTAGATGTGTATCCTTATAAGAATAATACAACCAAATTTTCCAAGTGGGCTTATCATAGTACAATAGCGAACAGTGGCAGGAGGCAAAAGTCTAAAGCAAACCCCCGAGACAAAAGGCTTAGATCATTTCAGTGCTATTACTTTCAGCCTCATATAAAAAGTAATAAATGTAAATGTTATAAAAGTAATTCAAGCTCGATGCTAAATCTTGTACAAGCAAGATCTTACAGTAATCCATCTCTGGTAAAGCTTCGTGCATTGAATAGGTAATATAGCAATCCATCTCTGGTAAAGCATCTTACATTGGGTAGCTATTGCAGTTATCCATCCCCTGTAAAGCATTGAGCAAAGAATAACTATCATACTAATCCATCACCTGAGAAATGATATGCTAAAGATGGGTATGATACTAATCCTGAAACTGTACATGCTAGGAAGAAGCGAGTCTATCATGAAGACCCGATTGTAAGGATTCACAAACGATATGCTTATGCTACCAACCCTGATCCTAATATTTTAAGAGCTAAAGCCTATTATGAAAAACAGTGAAGTCAGAAGAAAGAATATATTACAAGCCTATTACAAACACTATTACAAAAGAGACACATATATAAAATTAGTGATAATTAGTGCTAGACAAGTGTCAAATCACGAGATTATTTGTAAATTCAATTTGCAAGAAATACAACAGGATGCAAAATACTTTACTTTCATACACAACAAGGTATGTAGCTAAGTTATAAACTTTTGAAGGTAAGCATCTTGCAGCACAGCATTTGGTAAGATCATTCATTGCAATATCGAGAGACTTACCGGCATGAAGTCATCAACAATTCTAAACATTTAGGGAGTGTGGTATTGGTTTCATTGTGCAAGGCCTCTGAAGCAATTTCTAACAGTGAGATACACAAAAGTCTGTGTGGCAAAGCTTACACACTTCTAATACCGGGTCGAATTTACCAGAAATATCTTATTTAAATAGAAATGTTCTTCACATTAACTTTCCTTTATACAACAAGGGTGCTTGTGAGAGTGGAGCTGTTACGTGAATGTGCTCTGGATTGTGTAAAATTTCTATGCCTGAAGTAACTGAGGATATCTGCACCATGTTCATAAACATTGGTCATTGTTCTCCACTAGAATCCAGGCGATACGTTCAGCAGATGGATGATTGTATAAAGTTGGATATGCATGATCCACACGTACTAGGGCACAACAGGCAATGCCACCTTAATTCAAATGCTGGTGACTCTAAATTGGTATTTTTACATTGTCTTGTAACTACTTATCCTAACATTAGGAAGATAATCAATATATTATACAGTGTCAGAAGGACCGATTAAACAATTTGTGGCATTGGCCATGCACTACACAGAAGTGACATATGTGCATTGCAGGAAATTGCAAAAGAACAGAAGATAAGTAAAAAACATTATGTTGTACCGTGTGAAGCTTTGATGAAAGTAAAATTATTGAAACCTTCAAAACAGCTTTTACATCATACCACAAGAAGTGTTGAGAGCATGCTGAGTATCATTGCATGCCATGTAATAAACTCTGTTACAAACATGAATGTGTACAACTTGATCACTGCACTCGACTGATCACTTGTGATGCTTGGGAATGGCTGCTGGAGTATACAGAATAACATCCTGCTCCTGATGATGGGTTCCCACGGAATACTTCTGTAGGTACTGTATTGAAAAATTCTATGCAGGAACATATCAATCATGCTGCATGTTATATGGTATAAAGTTTGACTCGGTTCCTTAAGAGATTGCTCCACTGAATCAATATGGAAATTATTGATTCATTGGGCAAACACCTTCCAGGTTGTAATCAAATTGAGGACAGTAGCTGGAAAATGATAACTTTCAAGCTAAATAGTCAATAAGGTGCAGAGTTCAACATTTCATCTCCCTTTGCACTTGCAACATACCGTAAAAGATTACCCAAGTCTGAAGAACCTATCAATTTCAGAGAATAGAGTGCTATCTGTATTGTTGCGCAGCATACCTAGTTGCAAAAATGCAGTTTGGCAGGATGTAATTGTAAACTTTTTCTCTCACAAGAAGCTACTAAAAAGAACACCAGATGTGTAGGCACTGTAAACATGTGGAGAAATTTGTTTTCCTATGATGAGTTGTCGATAAACATGTGACAGAAAGTAGAGCAAGGCTTTGTTTTTATGCTATCCATAATTCGTCTTGGTCATGTTACTACTGATTATCTCAGGATGGTAGAAGAGTGTAAGTTGTGTTTCAATGATGGCAATGTACATGGAAGAATGGAAGAAGTGGTAAAAACACTTTCTGACCTTTTAACTGACAAGATGTATCTGTTACCCACCAGGCACATATGAGAAAAGATAAACAAAGAAATGCTTAAAAATTATAACAGAGAAGAAATTCGGTTGCTGGCTATAGATATAGTGGATTATCCTGACTCCAATAAGTTTTCTAACTAAAGTGACGACAGTACTCTCACAGCTGGCTTGGAAAAAGACATAGTAATAAATATTGGCTACAAGGTTATGCTTATGAGAAACATTGAAGTGACTCTTGGACTCGTAAATGGAGCAATAGGTATTATGAGTTCTGTTTAGTGATGGTTATGAACACGAATTGGAAAAAGTAAATAGTAAATTCCAAGTGTTGGATAAGTTTTTAATTGCGA